CATAAACATACACATACTCTCCAAATAGCACGTGACGTTCAGAGGTTATCAGTAGTAAATCACGCAGTATGCTGTATTCTTTTTTCTAAATTTGTGTTTCCTTTCAGGTATAATATTTTCCCCTATGAGAACTGAGTGAATACTGAACAGTTATGTCACTACCGTGTCAGATGTTGACTGATTACTGAGATATTTCATTCCTCCACCTGAAAGAACATTAGTCCCAACTTGGACGGGATTAGGGCGGAATGCTGATGAACAGTAATAGCGAACAAGAAGAACGTGCTACTTTACTTGTAGTGCTTACAAACGTGGCAGACAGTCGTTACACACCACTGATCAGGGGTAACGTATTCCTCTGACACGGTCCCCTGCAACATGATCTTAGACTATCGACAGGCAAAGTTAATTTCGTCCCAGTCCGAACAGACATAATGACATATAACATGCTCGATGCTGAGGGCATTCAAATTCAACACAATGACATCAATCTGTTTAGGAAATCATTCAAATGGATGATGAATAAACGCTTGATTGATTTACTGCGACAGAAGAGGCCTTGCAATAATTGAGCTACATTTTGCTGAGATCAATGAATCAATTAGAAAAAAAATCTGTTTGTAAGTTACCGATTATCGTTATATTCTTAGGTCGTTAAAAAATAAACAACAGTTCAGTTACAATTCCACAGTGAATTGTAAAGTCTGGATAGACGTTATTTTCGTTTTCTCATGCAGTAGGTGGTCTGGAATTTTCTGCAACAATCAAGGATCAAGCAAAACAAATATTCCAGAAAAATTTAAACTGCCTCTCGAACTCAGTTGAAAAACAATGACTAGACATAACAACTTTCTGAGCCGTACAAGAGGCCAAGAGAGAAACTTTGTACAACGGCCTCGAAAGGTGAAGGAACATTATTATTTCACTACAACCCTTACTTAAGGGATCGAAAGATTAAACATTTCAATATAACAATGCAATAACAATACAATCCTCTGCCGACATCGCTGTGTTACTAACATCATAACGTTCACAGTAAAACAACATATGGCGCATTGATTCTTCAATACACTCCTAAAATCATTTGGTTCTGATACATTATCAATATAGCAGTAGTTGAAAAACAAACAAACAATACGAAAACATTGAAATTCAAAGTCGTCACATTTTGGAAGCGTTAAAATACGGATTTCAATTGTATTGTTCCATATCACACAGCTTCTCATCCCTGCGCTTAAATCAAATGCATAGCTGGAGTATTGCACTTATTATGAGAGGTGTTGGCCGGAAGCTTACACAGCATGCACAGTGCACTTTCTTGACAATGACACAAAATATTTTCACCCATCAAAATATAGTTTACCTTTGGGTGACAGAGGAAATTTAAAGAAATGTGACAAAAAACATTGATCACGGGTCTCTTTATGTAGTCTGTTTTTGCCGGTCTATCCATACACCTGTTTTCTGAATTTCTTGAATGAGACCGATGGTTTGCAGCCCATTAAATTACATGGGAATTTGCACAAATGCGCAATCGCTTCGCGCCTTTTGCAACGGAGAACTCTTTGCTCTACTTTCTACATACCTTCCAAAACCCGTATGTTTCATTTCGCTTGTTCGCCGAGCTTAGCAATTTGTTCGCGAACGTTTCATCACCAGTCGAGCTGGCATCGTCGGTGCTTGTGAACTGGTAGTTTTCCACGTGTACTCGTTCGTTTATAAAGGTGCTTTTCTCCACCGACTATTTTTATCCCTTGTTCTCACTGTGTTCGGCTCGGTTCGCGGTTGAACTGGTGCGACGGGATGATGGTGATGGGGGAGAGTAGTTATTTCGTCTTGGTTGCAGTTTCTTGTCCGTTCTCAGGTCCCGACGTGACCTATTTTGTTGCATCATTCCATCCTGAGTTGCATTAGTGTGTGCATGTGATCGTGTTTCATGAATCGTTCTTTGATTTTATTGAATAGTGCTAAGCCTCGAAAAGCTCTTTGGTGTATTTTGACCTGTGATTTTCATCGATTCGAAGTTGAATAGATATCCTTCTTGATCTTAATGGAGGGAAATCAACGGCAGTGGGTCATGCCTCCTGACAGCTGATTGGTGTTCACGGATCCTTGTTGATAGTTTTCTTCCAGTTTGTCCGATATATTGTTTTAAGTAGTTCTTGCCGTTTATTTTGTAGATAACGTTGCTCTTGTCCTTGTTCATTGTCCTCTCCTTTGGTTTGACAGAGGTCCCCTTAGACAGGCGGTCAACCAACTCAGTGAACAGGAGCATCTCGACTACACACCAATGCAACCCAAGGGTTGAATGACGCAACAAAATAGGTCACGTCGGGACCTGAGAACGGACAAGAAACTGCAACCAAGACGAAATAACTACTCTCCCCCATCACCATCATCCCGTCGCACCAGTTCAACCGCGAACCGAGCCGAACACAGTGAGAACAAGGGATAAAAATAGTCGGTGGAGAAAAGCACCTTTATAAACGAACGAGTACACGTGGAAAACTACCAGTTCACAAGCACCGACGATGCCAGCTCGACTGGTGATGAAACGTTCGCGAACAAATTGCTAAGCTCGGCGAACAGGCGAAATGGAATTCAGTTTACTCGAGCGACGAGAACCGATGTTCAGTACTTTGTCAAATCTATATGTATCAGTGAACGACCAACGTCTATAGTGTCCAGCTATACACCTTCCACCAGTGATTTATTTATTTGTGAATGAAGTTTGCGCACTATCACACTCTCCCTCTCATGTGATTTATGTCTCTCATCCCTATATAGTATTCCTGTCCACAAATTTATCATTGTCCCATAGCAAACTAGTTTGCTTGATATTATTACCAGTGACATGCCAGCCTATTCACGATTTACACCGACCCTTGAGTACATGTGCACTCCGATGCGGCCTCAAATTTTCGCTTGTTTAGCCCGAGTGGTCGATGAGCTGCTCCAATCGCAGGCACATGTATACATGTCATTTTGCTAATTTAGGCATGTAATTTGAAGGAGGAACACTACCATTTGAGGAACGTTATTGATGTGAATTGTAGTCTGATGAAACTTTGTTTGGGATAATCAACAAAATGCAGTAGACAAGTGTTTGATTCCGGTTCGAGTCCTAACCAAAACATAAACATAATATGCATTGTTGATAGATCCAAACGGGATGAAACAGTTGTCTAGTGTTCTTTGTAAATCATCACATACAAAAACCCTCGTGTTTCAGATTCCAGCCAAAAATGGGAATAAATGAGCACCTACGGAAAGGTACCCATGAGGGATCCCAATAGCCAGACACTGAAGTAATCCAAATCGCATGGACAATAGAATTTTACTGATACTGCAAAAGTATTCCCATTTATTTTCGAAACAAGCAACTCTCTTGACCAATCAAACTTGCCTTCTGGGATTGCAGGAACCACCACTGGTTTGGATTACCATATGCGTTATGTATCTCGATGTTCCATTTCATTTTAGGGGTTGAATCAGCCATAATCGACATGGTCATGCACTTTTGATTATCGGAGGCAGTGTGTTGCAGTGCAGGTACCAATCCATACCTTCCATCATTTTGTTGGTATCGAATAAAAGTGATCTTGTAAACCGCATATCCCTTTCCGAAAATTGTTCGTGGAGTAATGTCTTCAATACAGGCAGCAATGGGGAAAAGTTTCAAAAGCAGTGATAATTTCTTAGAAGGTTAACAAAGTTCTCTCTCGTTGAAGATGCCAGCGCGGAGAGTAGAAAAACCAGTGATATTTGCGCACAGAGAAAGCAAGGCGCGGCCCCTGGCAACGCACTTTTCATTTCTATTTATACCACTTTCTATTTAGGTGTTGTGTGTGCGTGTTACTGGTTTGCCCTAAGAGACAAGAAAAGCAACCAGGCGAGACTACAAACTGGACAACTTTATCAAGAAAAGTCATCCAGCTGTTCCGAATATTATGTCGGAAAAAACAAATTATATGGTACCCCGTATTGAGATTGCTCAGTACAACTCAGATCACCACGATTGCAGGCTTAAGAGGCATTAAATCGATGATATACTGGGGGTTGCTTAAGGTTACTCTATCTCTGTTCGTCCCCTTCATGGCTCTAACAGAGAATGTTGGATTCCTACCAACGGTTCCGTACAGGTGTACGATGTAACCGGTATAAACCGTTTTACGAGGGGAATCTGACTTCAAAACACTTTTACGCTCGAAATCGCTACGATCCTATTGCAGATCTTGATATTTCTGATGAGACAATGTCACTTATCTTTCAAGATGTCTCTCCTTCGGAAGTATTCGATGATCCACTGCCTAAACACTAACCTGACATGCATATAAAATCGAATAGTAAAGAATGATTTCCCTGTTAGTTAGTTCATTTTTATCCTACTGAATTGCCTTTGTATTAGACATGTTTATCCTTGTTTGTTTGGTCCTAGCCCCTTCCATTTTAAGTACTGCAATTTATCATTACACAACCGGATTATTTTTGGTTCTGTACGGATTGCTTGAATACCCCTGTTATCAAGTGTATAATAAGCATCTCTAAGCATCTCCATATATTCTCAATTACCCCCTGTGAGCCCAATCCAGCGGACGACAAAGCTTCCTAGGTTTTCCCATAGTAGCTCTGATCCAGCGCACTTCATACACTCTACTGAAATTAGTAACGTGCCAAAAACGATGAGAAACAGAAATATTGTCCCAGAGTTGGAGAACCATTCAATGCGGCCAACACCTGCCCATAATACGGAGACAATAATGGCAGCAAACGATGCGGACTCAATTCCAGGCTCTGGGATTCGAACGGGGTCCAAAGTATATACATGGCAGATACATCATATGTCAACAAAGCACAAGCAGACTATTGATCACGCCGCCCTGACGGTCATCTGCACTAATGTACCAGAGGCGATAGCAACTTCACTGAAGGAGAGACAAGTGGAAGAGCGTGGTCACTGAAATGCATTATGCACTCAAATGAACATTGACGTCCACCCAATGAGCGTCGTACGCCTCTTTCGTCAACCGTCCTCACCCCAAGCCGGGGAACCCAGACTACTTCGCGTTACTTTGAAGGATGAGAAAGACGTTGAGAACGTTCTCCTTTCTAGTCACCTTCTTGGCAACGTTTCGAGTCGTATAAGAATACTTCCTGATCGACCGTGGACCGGACGTATGCACTATCGCACGAACCCAGTAGATGCACGCGAGTCGGAAAATAAACGAGTTATATTGATTCACGGAGTCCAGAAATTAAACGATCCAGACGAATCCACATATCAATAAAAAGATTGTAAAGAGTGGAGGTTTATTCAAGAGTTGATTGGATGCCATAATATTTTCACTACCTCAATCAATCGACTTCCGTGGAAACGATCCGAGGATTATGAAAGTAACCCTCAGTACCCCGGAAATGGTCACATCAGTATTGCAGGCATGGTATCAAAACAGAAGAAGAGGACCACCAGAATTATGCCTCAGACCAATATTGAACAGTGAGATAAAACGATGTCCGCAGTTACAAAACCAAACTCCACTTCCCTCTACTTCTTCGGGAGCTCAAAGCAGCAGAACCGATTCCTCAAAAAACTACTGCTAGCCGACCGCAGAGTAATCGGCATAAACAACAATTCGAAACCCAGCGGATTCCTAAACAGACGCTCCCTAGCTTGTTTTTACACAAACGCACAAGGTTTCCTTCGCAATCTCTCTGAGGTTCAAATGCGCTTACAAACTGGTCGGTGGGATTTTGTTGCCGTTACCGAAACTTGGTTGACTGACGATATTCTCGATTCGGAATTGCACCTACCCGGAATGTCGCTGCTGAGGCGTGATCGTTCTACACAAAGTGGCGGTGTGCTGCTATATTTCCGCAGCAACCTTCAGTGTGAACCACCCGATCTCTTCAATGCAGCCCCCGACATACTTTGGTGCACAATGAGGCTGTCCAAAGATAGTAATCGTTCGATCGGTGTAGTCTACCACCCTCATGCATCCTCAGACTTAGCTAACGAGGCACTCTTGCAGACTATGAGAAACGCTGTTTCAGTAAAGTGCACTCATGTTCTCATAATGGGGGACTTCAATTGTCCCAATTTTATAAAAAGCCAGAACTATCACTACCCTTTCGAGCGAAACTTATCACAGTTTATAGACTCACATCCGATGTATAATCACGTGAAGAATCCCACCAGATTTGGAACATTCCACCAATCATCAACATTGGACTTCGTATTGACAGGTGAGCTTATGGTCAAATCGGTCGAAATAACGTCTTCATTAGGACTAAGCGACCATGTAGTTCTGCTTTTCGATTACATTTACCACGCCTTCATAGAAATATGCCTGAAAACCAACACACGCACCGTTATTGACCACAATGAATTGCTGAACCTTGCTACTGTCAAACAATGGACACAACTAGAAGAGCAGCTAGATCTACTGGAGTCCTGGAAAAGACTCATTGAAACACTAAAAGAACTCATAACGGTCACCAAAAAAACCAACCTGTCGGTGCGTTGCCTACACGATTATCACCTATCCGTAATCGAACCAAGAAACGGATGTCAGAGAGGAATTTCTCTTAGCGAGAATTCAGAAGATGTCCGACCGCCGACACTTGGGATAACTATATCTTGTTGAGAAAAATTAGTAGATTAGTAAATCAGTAAAATTAGTGCGAGAGGATAAACGAAGATTTTAAGAAACTCTGGCACAAATTTATTGCCAATCCGAAGCTACTGCATAAGCATATCAATGCTACCAGAAAAGTGAAATATAGAACACCGGCACTAAGGCATGCAGGACGCGTTTCCAGTACTGCTGCTGAAACAGCCGGATTTCTATACCTCCAGTTCTACAAAAGATTCACTGCAGGTAACAAAGGCGGATTACAGCTTCCACACCTTCTACCAAGTGTCCCATACCCCCAAATGACCACCGTCACGTTCAAACCTGAAACGGTTACAAACAAACTATTGGCGCTGCGCCGGAATTCATCTCCAGGAGAAGACAACATCCGGCCACAGACCATGACGTCCTTGGAAAACTACATATCTGAAATAATTGCCCCTTTATACCAAAGAATATTAGAAGATCCCTCAATCCTGGAAACACGGCATCATTTGTCCTATTTACAAAGGTGGCTGCAAAGTGATCCTGCGAACTACCGTCCAGTTACACTTCTTCCTGTTCTGTCAAAAGTAATGGAATCGATTGTTGCTGATTCCCTGATGGATCATTTCGAGAAGAATAACATACTTTCGCCGGCCCAACGCGGGTTTCGAAGGACACGCTCGTGCACCACAAACCTGCTACTTGCACGAGATGGATGGACAAAATCAGTGGACGCAGGAGAGG